GGGAAGAGGGAACAGGAGGAAGAGCCAAGGCAGATGGAGGGTACAGAGACAGGAGGCTGCACAGCACTCCCCAGCTCTCTGCAGAGAGCCCTGCTGCTCCCAACAACGGGGTAACAGTGCTGAACCCCGCCACAAAGCCATGGATTGAACGTGCTGCTTAGTCCCAGTTGGAAGGAAAACAGCAGTCTATGCCTCCCTGAGGCCTTTCAGTCACTGAAAGGAATTATATCCAACAATGTCACCTGTCAACCCGGTCTTGGTATCACCTTCAGATGAAAGCCTGGACTGTGGTTGGGGTTCACTGCACAACCTGCAATGAGCCCTGGGAAGCTGCAGTCAGCTCTTGCCTCAAGAGTTCAAACCATTCCCCAGACCCTCCCCCTGCTCAGGGCCTGCAGCCAGCCAGAGCCACTGGGGCTGGCAATGCTGATCCCCCAGAGCTGCACCATGGGGGATTCACAGAGATCAAGAGGCTCCTGGGGAGCCTCAGCAGCAGCATGAACAAGAACCCAATGGCACAGTTCCCCGAAAGCACAAACATCAGCAGTAAAGTAAGTCAAGCAGTGCAGAAAAGGGGCTGATTTTAGCAGAATTTTTGAAAAGATGGTCTGTGACGAGAAGCTCCTTTTCCAAAATAAAGAAATCCAGCTGGAAGATGAACATCCCAGCTTCCCTTGAAAAGACTCTCATGCACACATTCAGCACTTCTTCCAAAGCCTCAAAGCAAAGGCAGAGAAAGGAGAACAGCTCTCCCTTACCTGTTCTTTGTGCCTTTGGGGAAAAGGATAAAAGCCCTTTAAAAGCTGTGCCTCAGCTCCAGCCCACCCTGGGCATGGGAGGCCTCAAAGGGACCCCATGTGGCCTCTCAACTACCAGAGGAGAGTCCACCCCAACCAAGCAGCCTCCAGACACATCAGGACAAAGCTCAGCTTGAAGGGGACTGACACTTTCTCCTGTCACTGTTGCTGTCACTCACCTCCTTCCCCTACAAGGTTTGCAGTGCTCCCCACCACTGAGCCAGCCTTGAGGGTCTCTACTGCCAAACTCCACCCTGACCCAATCCATCCCCCTTTCCTGCCAAGGACAACTAGGAAAACTTTCCAGTCTTGCCCCTCACGTTTAATATGTTCCACACCTTTGCTGCCATAATCCCATCACTTTTTCCTGTGCCCAATCCTCCACCCGGTTTTCTTTTACACCCATCTTCACACCTCGTTCCTCCAGCCCCACAATTCCATGGCCTCTCCAGCTTTGCCCAGCTATGCCTTAGCTCTCCAAATGCTCAATTTCCTCCTTAAAATGTCTTTTCCTTACAGTTTTTCAGCAGCAACCTAACCCTTTATTTGTTGAAACAAAGAAAACTGAGTCACTGTGAGACCAGGCACATTGATCCCTACAGCACAAGGGCTGAACTGATCAGAAACTTCACAGTGATCTCCATGACAAGAAGTGATGACTGCACGGTGTAAGTGCTTATTAAACAAAGCAATCAATGCTGATGAGAGCAGAAAATAAATTCTGGTTAGTAACAAGTGCTCTAGATGCTCCATAGATGTAGCCCCTTGACAGCCCAAGGGAATTATTCCATGCCACATCCACTGTGTCCAGGCAATCCGTGGCAATGGGCAAGCCTCGTGTGTGGGCCGTTAGTCACATCACACCTATGGACCCACCAGCTCCTGGCCAAATGCTCCTTTCACTTTACTTCCTTTTCATAGGTGCCCTGTCCTCCTCTACCTAAGCCACTGCTCCCTTCTGCCAGGCTGAGACAGGCAAGAGAAGAGCTCCTGTTTTCTCCCACCAGCAGGGAACACAGCAGACACTGCAGGTGCTGTCCAGCAGAGGAGGCTGAAGGGATGGACACTACCCCATCTCTACCTCTCTATGGAGGTGAGACCCCCTCATACACCCAGTTCTCAGCCTTCTTATTCCCTCCAGATCATGCCCTAGGAGGGAAGCTCCATCCACACTGGCTTACTCCAGAGAGCAGTTCCTCCCTACCAGCAGCATCCTCACACTCTGGGAGGAACAGAGATGCCCTGAAAACTCGGGGTGCAGCACCTGCCCTCTGCCTCTTATGCAGCACAAGTGCCCTTCACCCAAGATAACAAGCACAGCCTAATGCTGCTGGTGGCAATGAGTCATCCCAGAGCTGTGCTGGCTTCTTCCTGGCATGGCAAAAATCCCTAACCAAGAGCCACACACAGGCTGCAAGCCATGAACAGCCTGAACAATGCCCAGGCAGCAGTCCCCACACAGATCTCTGTCCTGGCTCCACAGACATCAGCAAAGGAACAGGGCAACACAGACCAGAGGTCTGTAAGTAACCCCACACTTCTGATTAAGTACCACCACCACATCCTTCACAGGAAAAACTGGAGCCCTGAACAAGCTTCATCCAGGAAATGACTCCATGGGAGAAGGATCCAGAGTGATCACTCCTTCCTTCTTGCCCCACACCTCCTCCAGCTGTAATGGTTTCCTGTTTTCCAGCAGCTTTGACCCCAGTGAGTCACTGCTCATCTCCAGATCACCCATATCAGGTTTTTATCTGGAGAAGAGGATGCCAGAGCACCAGCTGCTGCCCAAACCCCATGGACCTGGTGTGTTCCTGACCACTTACTTTCTTGAAACGTTAAGGAGCATGTTACAGGATGAGGTAAAAAAAGCCTCAAAAATCAAAAAATTATGCTAGGAAAGGTTAAAATTCAGGGTTAATGCTGTAGAGAAAGAGCCTCACAAAAGCATGGAACAGGTCACCACCAGAACACAGCCAGGGCTTCAGGAACTCCAGTAAGCTACTATGATATAATGGTATCCCTTTACCTCACTGAACACACAATTTCTTGACAGGCTGTATCAAAGTTAGGATTTCCTTTAGCTGTGGACACATGGGGTAGGACAGGTCAGTTAGAAGAACACAGGCGTGAGGAATGTTCATATGATGAGCTACACAGAAATACTCTGACAAGACAGCAGCAGGAGCTCCAAGTGACAAAATAAGTCATTATCCCCGTGACACTAAGCAACAACAACTTACTGCCTGATCTTGTCATTCCTGGGTCCAAATGGCTTCCTCCTGCAGGCAGAAAAGAGCAATCAGGACAGAAGGCACAATGAAAACATGTTTTTAAACCAGACCCAAAAGATGTGAGGAGAGAACCAATGCCTTGTGCACAGAGAATTGTTTTCATACCTCCCATCAGTCCCTCCCACGTCTTAGGATCCATGGGACATTTCACTCTTACAAAAGGTCACGCCTATTAATTCATGCTCAAGGCCAAGGCTCTGGAAGCACATCCCAAAGGAATTGAAGGTTTTCATTCCCAAGCCCCCAGTCTCAGAGCTGCAGGCAGGTATGACACTGCATTCCAACTCACAGGAAAAAGTCTTCCTCTTCATCTGAGTCTTCCTCCAGCAGGTTCCTCTGCAAACACACAAAAACCATTCCATTAATAAGCAACCACCATTTCACACCCACATTTCCAGCTCTTAGGATGTAATCAGCATCCTCTGACTGCAGGAAGGCCCTCTCTGCTCAAGGGACAATCCCCAGCCCTGCACCCAAAATCATCAGATCACCCACAGACACCCTGGGCTGTTCCATCCACACGGGAAATCAGATCCACTCGATTTGGAGGATGAGGTTTCTCCACCATCTGATGGCAGCAGGTGTAAGAGGGATGACCACAAGGGAACCTTGGGCTGGAGGGCAGAGCAGTCTGGCAGCTCCTCTGTTTCACCCCAAAGGGCTCCCCAGGACTCCCCTTTGCTGATCCACTACACTGCAGGAGAGGATCCAAAACCTGATTTTTAAGGGGAACCCCACAATCCCACAGAAGCCTGCATGTTCCAGACAAAACCATTTCTGCTTAGGGTCAAAAACAATCAGGAGGGAGAGGTAACACACTAAAGCTGTGAGCCCAGGGACCCAGCAGATGGTCCTTGGGGACAGTTGCTGCTTTCCCATGTGTAGATCTGGGCTCCCACCTGGCCTGATGCTCTGATGGTGCAGCTCACCTACATTTCCATCCTGTCACACTTGCTCAATCAACTCAAGCAAACCTACAACACCGTGCAGTAGTTCCAGCCGCTGCTTCCCTCCAGGGAGGAGCAGCCTGCTCGTGGCAGCACGGGCACCGCGGCTCGCTGGCAGCTGTCGGGAGCTGCAGCAGCGTTTCCGACCACAGCCTAAAGCGAGCTTTAGCACAGCCTGACCCCAGCAGGTTAAATCCACTTCATCCAAACCAGGCAACTGCCGGGACCTGTACTCAAAGCCTGGAAATGAAGGGACCGCGGTGACAGGAGAACAAATCGGCTGTAATGGACAGGGTGACTTCACTCAGCTCCTTCAGCCAACGTGGGCAGCAGAGCCAGGCCGCGTCCCTGCCAGGCTCTGCGGAAGGGCAGGAGGCTGGAGCACACCGGCATCCCCTGGCCATGGATGCGGCATGAAGGAGCCGCAACAGGTTCCCGAAAGAGCCGTACCGAGGCTGCTGTGCCACACACGGAGCGGGGCTGGCGCTCGGACAGCCCTCACCGCCCGAACGGCGCTGTCAGCGCTCCGGGCCGCTGGGCCCCGCGGCTGAGGGCTGCGGCGGCACAGACCCGGCCAAGGCCCCCCTGCCGTGGGCACCGAGCCCGCGCCCAGCCCCGCACGACAGGCACTCACCCGCTCGCTCTTCACCGAGCCCGTCACCTCGTCGTCGTTCAGGTGCCGCTTGAATTTGGGAGGCATGACCGGTCTGTGCCGCGGGTCTGTGCCCGGGGGGAGAAGCCTGGAGGGGAGAGCGGGAAGCGCCGGGCAGGCCCAGGACGGGACCCGCCGCCCCCGCGCTCAGCGGGCCGGGCCGGGCCGGGCCGGCGGGAAATGGCCGGTGCCGGAGAGTCCTGTCACATCCACCGCCCCGCCCGCCGCGCCGAGCGCCGAGCTACCGATGGCGGGCGGGGACACGACGGGGAAAGGGGGCGGGATCGTCCTGAGGCGGGGCGGACCCGGGGCCGGCGGGCTCCGTTCAGGCCCCGGGCGGCCCCCGTGGGGTTCGGCCCCGGGCCCGCCCGCCCCGGCGTCACCCCTGGCGCACGGCCTCGGCCAGCGGCCCCGGGGAGGCGGCGGGGCAGTGCCGGTGTCCCCGCAGGCATCTGGGAGGTCGCGGGGTTCGGCCTCGGGCCCGCCCGCCCCGGCGTCACCCCTGGCGCACGGCCTCGGCCAGCGGCCCCGGGGAGGCGGCGGGGCAGTGCCGGTGTCCCCGCAGGCATCTGGGAGGTTCGGCTCGCCCGCCCCCCGCCGCCCCGACCCTCGTGCTCTATAAATGCGGGCGCCGGTGGCCGGCGCGCTCAGAGGGGCGGCGCCGGGGCCATGCTGGGGGTCTGGCTGCTGCTTTGGGGTTCCGTGGCCCTGGGTGGCCGGGCGGACACCGCCTTCCTCCGCCGCGCCCATGACAGCTCCGGCCACTGCACCTACTCCTTCACGGTCGCCAGCCCCGTGGAGGCCGCCTGCCCCGAGGCTGCCGGCGGCGTGCCCGAGCTGCGCGCCGAGCTGGCCGCCCTCGCCGCCCGCCTGAGTCGGCTGGAGAGCCGGGAGCGAGGAGCGGCGGGCTCGGGGCCGCGGGGAGCCGAGCCGGGGGGCGCACGGGACCCGCAGCAAGTGGCCGCGGCCTCCCGCCTGGAGGCTGCGTACGGCGAGCTGCTGCGGGCCAAGTCCCGGCTGGAGGAGGAGAAGGGGCGGCTGGAGCGGGAGAAAGAGGAGCTGGGCAGGCGGCTGGAGAGCAGCGCCCAGGAGATCACCCGGCTGCGGGCCGCCCGCTGCCCCCCCGGCAAAGAGGGGCCCGGCCGGGACACGCTGCGCGCCCCCGCCAAGGGTAAGTGCCGGGGCCGGGACCCCTGTGCGTCCCTGCCGCCGAGTCCGTGTGCGGCCCCCGTGCTGTGCACCCACTGCTGGCCCCGCTCCTGGGGGGCTCAGCCTTGCTGGGAGGTCGCAGCCCATTGCCCCATACCTGCCTCCCCACGCCGCCTGCCCCGCAGCAGAGGGGCCATGTAGGGTACCGTGCTCATCTGGGCTCTTAGGAGTTTCCCGCATAGAGAACGGTCAGGGATGTGCCCTGCTGCAGAGGGAGGGGCACCGGGCTCCTGCCCAGGGCATCGGCATTTCGAGGGGCAGCAGCCCGGCACGGAGCCCCCCGAGGGCGGCAGGAGCAGGCAGGCGGTGAGGGGGCTGGCTCAGCCCCGCTCACGCTGTGCCTGACCCCGCTGCAGCGCCGCGCTGGGAGCCGCAGCCCCTGAGCTACCAGGAGCTGCAGTCGGAGAGGACCGAGGTTCCCGTGTCCCGGCTGCTGGAGGAGACGGCGCTCGGCCGCCCGGGCAAGGAGGACTCAGGTACGGGCACGCCGGGCCGGCCCCACGGCCCGCTGCTCACGAGGGGCTGGCGGTGACCGCTTGTGTCCCGTCCTGTCCCCGAGCAGGCTGCGGCCAGCTGGTGTGGGTGGGAGAGCCCGTGGTGTTCGGCCGGGCGGACTCCATCGCGGGCAAGTACGGCGTGTGGATGAAGGACCCCGAGCCCGTGCCGCCCTTCACCCGGGACAACACCTGGCGTGTGGACACCGTGGGCACCGAGGTGCGCCAGCTCTTCCAGTACGAGGAGGCCGAGCAGCTGGCCCGGGGCTACCCCGCCAAGGTGCACATCCTGCCGCGGCCCCTGGAGAGCACGGGGGCCGTCATCTACCGCGGCGGGCTCTTCTTCCAGCCCCGCCAGTCCCGCTCCGTGGCCCGCTACGACCTGCGGGGAGAGACCATCACGGCCGAGAGGGAGATCCCCGGCGCCGGCTACCACGGGCAGTACCCCTACTCCTGGGGGGGCTACACCGACATCGACCTAGCGGTGGATGAGACGGGGCTCTGGGTCATCTACAGCACTGAGAAGGCCCGGGGAGCCATCGTCCTCTCCAAGCTGGACCCCGAGACGCTGGAGATCCGTCGGACCTGGGAGACCAACATCCGCAAGCGGGGGGTGGCCAATTCCTTCCTCATCTGCGGCACCCTCTACACCGTCAGCAGCTACTCGGCGCCCAACGCCACCGTCAACTTTGCCTACGACACTGCCACGGGCAGCAGCCGGGCCCTCAGCATCCCCTTCGAGAACCGCTTCCGCTACCTCAGCATGCTGGACTACAACCCTGCCGAGCGGCAGCTCTTCGCCTGGGACAGCTTCAACATGGTCACCTACCCCGTGCGCCTCTCCCGGGCGTGAGCCGAGGCTGGCGCTGCGCCGGCTCAGCCCCCGGGACCTCGGTGCGTGCCTTGGCACCCCGCTTCCCTCCCCTCTTCCCCCGGCACGGCCGGGAGCGCCGCCTCGCACAGCCTCCGGGAGCGCCGGGGGCCGCACGCTGCCCAGCCACATCGCATTGTGCTCGAGCGCAGCAGCGAGAGATGAGGCAGTGCTCCAGAGCCCGGCAGAGCCAGGGAAATGCCTCTCACCAGCCTCGATGGGTTTCCGATGGGTCACAGCAGTACCCAGCCCTGAGCTGCTCCAGCACCTCCCTGAGCACCCAGCCTGGCCACCCCGAATGTGGAGCAGGGAGGGCTCAGGCATGGTGAGGGCTGGGCAAACAGGTGGTAGAAGGGCTGTGCAGGGGGACCCTGCTTTAAAATAAAGGTTTTTTCCTAGCTGTGAGCAGCGATCCCCTCTGTGGGGTCAGGGTTTGTTGTTTCCAAGCTTCAGCCCTGCAGAGCTCTCATAAGAGATCCCACAAGCTCCACTGGCATCCCACACTCCCAGTGCCCAAGGGCATCCTGGAGCTCAGCCACCTCCAAAAATCATCGACTAGGCTCAAAAGCAGCAGAAAATACAGACACACATTGCACAAGCCTTGTTTTATTGAGGAAAAAAAGCAGCCCAGAGAGCAGGGGTGAGGAGTGCTGTCAGAGCATCCTGCAGCCGGGTGGCCTCTCAGTACCCAGCCCTTCCAGCCGTGTGCTTCAGCTTTACAGCCATCCCAGGCCAGCAGCTCTCCCCACAGCAGTCCAAAACATGCTGTTTCATCTGTTCATTGTAGAAGGCTTGTAGGAGGGGGCTTCTTTCTCCCTCTGGCATTCAGGGCAGCAGCAACCACATTCCCCAGGGGCTGCATAGAGTCCTGGCCCAATAAACACTGCCCAGCACCACTGCTGCTTCACACCTTGTCTTTCCAAGCCTGTTTTCCAAGGAGTGTGGTGGGCTGGTGTCCCTCTTGATGCACCTGTAGGGTGAAGGTGCTGGTGGGGGGAGCTGTAAAGCCTTGAGCAGGAAAATGCCACGTTTTGGAAGGCAGCTTCTGACAACAACACACCAGGTACTGGAGCAGTGGAAAAGGACAGAGAACACAGCGGGACACTTGTGATGATCACCTGCAGCTACAGGGATTTTCTGTGAGATGCTTCACCCCACTGCTGTTCTCCTGACACTAACGCTGTTGTCCCAAGTGTAGCAGCACTGTATGTTTGCATATCAGTGAAGTATTTGGTTTATCCCTCATCCCCAGGCTTTATTTTGGAACAATACGAGGTGGTTGTACAAAGTGAGATGACACGTGTAAGGTATGTTTGCTAAGCTGCAGGGGGGGCAGCAGGAGGGACCCCAGCACGAAGAGGGGGGAGGCTGAAAGACCCATTCCTGCTCCTGGGCAGGCCCAGAGCCAGGCTGGGAATCTCACCCGAGCCAGGGCCACTGGAGGTGTCCCCGTGGCCAGTGATGGCCCCAGGAGGGTCAGGAACACATCAGCCCTGTCACTGTCACACCCAGAGCTGGGGAGCCCCGGGGCCAGGGCACGATCTGGGTGAGGGAGAGCCGAGCAGGCAGCAGCAGTGCCCAGCAAACCTGCCACCAAGGGGGGGAGAAAGGCATTTCTGTCCCAGAGCGGGATGGGAGGCGAGGCTGGAGTCCCCCTGCACCCCGCAGCTCCCCGGGGGGTGAGCCGAGCCCCGGGATGAAGGCAGGGTTTGTGCAGAGCCCCGGGAGCAGCAGCACCTCGCTGAGCCCAGACACCGAGGGCAGACAGCTCTGCCCCTCCCCGCGCCAGGGCCTTTCAGGCCGGGAAGTCCATCTCTTAATTGACTGAGAAAATAAAGGAGGACAAGCCAGTGTACACAGGATTTCCAGAAAGCTGGGCTGGAGCTGAACAGCGCTGAATACACTGCTTTACTTAACAGGCTTTGGGAAAACAAGCCCTCCCTGCCCACATCCCAGCAAGAAGCCAGCCTGAGCCCAGGGGGTGTTGCTGGCTCTCGCCCCAGTCACATTTAACACCCCTTTGGCTCTTGCCCTGGAGAAAAGTTACGACCTTTTCACAGCCTCAACATTATTAAGGGCAAAAAAAAAAGAATTTCCCCAAACAAAGTTGTTGCCTAATTTCTGGGAGGTTCAGCACAATTATTTCTGATGACCAGAGTCCTAGAAAAGAGATTACAAACCAAATCCCACTCAAATTAAAAAAAAAGCAAGAGCTACTCCAGTGTAAATAGCCAGGAGCAAAGTTATCTGATTAAATGTCATAAAATATTCAATCAACCAGGGTCAACGACTGAAAGCTCCACCTGGCCTCAAAGGCAGGCGTGGTTTGGGGCTTTGGAGAGGCACACATCAAACCTGGGTTATTTGGAGGCACAAGATGCCCAAGCATTTAGTTTAATTAAACTTCTGCAGAAATACTCCCCTTGTTCTGCTCTGAGCACAAAATAGCCCAAAGCCTGGTACATTCCCACAGCCGACTGTGGGAAATTCCTCTGACTTCCCAATGGCTTTATTACTGCAGAATTGAACATGAATCCTTTCAGCAGTGCTCACCTTAAAAATAGAACACTCTGCTGAATGAGTTCTCATTTTTGGGGTGTCCTTTTAAGATGAAACAGGCTGAAGACAACCTCAAAGCAGGGAAACATCACCACAACTCAGTTACTTTTACAGCACATTTCTAGATGGAAGTGTCCACATTCACTCAGTGCCCCATGTCCACCCTCCTTTCCAAGCATTGTGCAGCTGTGCTCATACAGATCCTTGTGAAAAAGGTGATTTACCTCAAGTGCGACCTGCTCACAGGTTACTTCTGCCCACGGCACAAAATCCATTTGTGGATTCCAGCACCTTTGATTTACTCCATATTGCTGCAGTTTTACCCTGAACAAATCCATCCTGGGCAGGAAAGGACTCCAGCTCCTCTGGTTGCCCTAAGCTGCTGTTCCCAACCCACCCCAGATCCGCAGTGTCACCTCTGATCAAAGGTCAGCCTGCCCAACTCCGGGTGGTGCTTGCAGAGCCAGCCCAACACTCCTGGCTGCACCCTCCCTTTCCTCAGAGGTGCAGAGCCAGCACCTTCTCCCCAGGCAGGAATTACCTGCCTGAGACCAACACCAAGTTCCTGGTGTTTGTGGGAAGCAAGTTCCCTCTGGTGGCCAGCTGAGCATGTCCTGCCCGTCCCGAGCCACAGCCCAGGGCAGGAAAGGCTCAGGCCAGGCTCCCTGAACTCCTGCTGTCCCCCGGTGCTGCTGCTGCCTTGAGAGGCTCCCTGGAACACAGGCTGGGCAGAGCTAAAGGAATAAAGTAGGGATTGATTAAAGGCCTTCACAGGATGCACCTTGGGCAGTACAAGCCAGGGCTACACCCAAGATGGACCCTGGGTCACGAGTTCTCACAGTTTTATAAGTTTTGGTCCATTTCCATATTGGGGTTAATTGTCCAGTTCCAGCTCCAGGTGATGCAGTCCCACCCTCCCAGTCTGCTCTCCTCCATTCCCTGCTGTTTGCACTTTTTGGGCCTGAAGCTGCAGCGGTGTCCTTGGTTCTGGGGCTGGAAAAGGATTGGTTTGTGTGACTGAGCTGTGGGTGGAGAGAACTTGCCAACACTTTATATGAAGTTCAGAGTTATGAACTAATGCAGTACAAAATATGAAAGCTAAAACCTGAGGCATCACTGTCACTTACTGGCCAATGGGACAAGCAGCATCATCCCAGCTCCTGTCTGGAACAACCCCCAGCTCCATCAGCTGGAGATGGAATTCCCAGCAAACACCCCCAGGGCTCCTGCTGGGGCAAGCGGTGGCCACATTCTGTGAGCCCTTGGCTGGAGACGGGCTGGGAAAGTGCCAGGATACACCAAGGAGCTTCTGGGAGCATCTTCCTTCAGGAGCCTTTCCCTGGGAGCGCTGCTCTCCTCCCACAGCAATCACGAGAGCAGCCGGGGGCTTTATTTAGAGAATACTTTATTAGTTTCTGTAATCAAACCCATGTAAATAAGACCGTACATATTTCATACAGTGCGTTACCCCTGTACAAATGGAAAAAAAATTAAGTTTAACATTTCTAGACCAATATGGCTGTTAATTTCTGTACAATGCCAACTCACACTACAAGTGGGATACTTTTTTCCAAAGTTGACATCACAGCTAGTTTCCAAAAATTCAAATTATATATATATTTATATAAAAAGATAACCAATAGCGATTCACTAGGCATCAATAGCAGCAACAGCCTTTCCAGCTTCTGCAGTCATTTGAACAAAATTATACACATTAGACTTTCACCTCTTCCTTCCAAAAAACGTAAAAAAAAAGAAAAAATCCCAGAAAAAACCAGCAAATTCTGCTACTGATGTGGTACCTGGTGCTTTTTATTAGCTTTTTCAATCATTGTCTGGAAAAAAACCTCTAGAATAACATTATTAAAAACAGCTCCAGTATAGCACAGTCACTACTACATATCATAAGCAGGTACAGGATATCTTACATTCACAGAAGTATCATACAGTACTGTCCTACAGCTAGAATACTAGAGGATACAATTAAAAAGGCATTTATTTGACTTGATTCTACTTTCCAGCACACTGTGGGCAAGGAGGTGGTGCGACGCAGCTCTGATATAAAGAATGCACCTTTGAGATAAAACTCTCGTTCATCTGATAAGGTTTCTTTTATTCTCGTGGCACAGTTTAAGTGCTCGTTGCTGTGTTACAGACAGAAACCGGAAACCGTTTAGGGACCACTCGCATCATATCAAGACAGCTGGACGGGGGTGAACGGAACAAATCTGACTATTGATGCAACGAACCTTCAGCTCCAGGGGAGAGCCACTGAGGGGGCAGCGGGTGGAGAGGACACAGGTGGCCAAGTAGCTTTTTCATATGGTGATCTAAATGCAGTAAATTGTCATCCAAGCAGCAGCAGCCAGCAAAGCACTGCCTTCAGAGGGAAATCCAACACTGCCAGGGTTACTCTGTGTTAGGTTAAGCCTCGCGTGGCAGATACGCGGATCCCTCTATTTATACAAGATAGAAGCTTCTTAAGTCACTAAAAACTTAACACACATTACTTGGCCCAGCACCATCTTCAGATCTGCACGTTCTCATACTCACGGGTTTATAAAAAGATAAATAGCAGCTGAAGACCAGAGCCTGAAGAAAATAAGAATTCATTGTGTCAGCTAGGAAATGCCTCCCCACCGTCGCTGCTTCTCCGTGCTGTCGCTGTGGGAAGCAGGCGGGTGCGAGCCAAACGGGGCACACACGTGTGGGACGTGCACACCCCAGAGCAGCCTTCATGCTGTTAGAGCAGATGGGAGCCCCGAGAGCCCGGGCTCAGCTGGACACAGCAGCTGGCACCACCACTGCAGCTGGCACCACCACTGCAGCTGGCACCACCACTGCAGCTGGCTTCTACGC